AAAAAAATGACATCTTCGTTGATGGCGTATTCGTAACCCCGTTTAATTCTAATGTCCGCTCATGAACTAGTCGTGTACAGCAGCCAGATACCGCGAAAGCCCCTTAAGTTCCCGAAACTTTGCTCAAGTTCCAGAGACCCTGGCGCGACACGTGCGCTGTTTGCAGCAGCCTTTGTCTGAAGCGCAGCATCTCTTGCTTTCTGCTGTTTATGGCTGCGGATCTGGGCTCCTGATGGCTGTGGTTTGCTGACGCTCTCTTTCTCTCTCGAGCATCGGTAAGACCCTCCCCGAAAACTTTCTGTCGAATATGACGTTACGGCGTAATACCTTGTACCCTCTTCTCTACATCTCTTGACGAACCCTTTGCCAACCGAAGCTGAATTTGATTGGAATATCAAATTATACATCGGCTATCGATTCGTAAACTTTGATTTGCCGAGGGGTGGGCCATGATGAAAGGAAGGTGCTCATTAAGGCCATCGATTATGCGAGATGGTATAACTATTTGGTACCGGAGTATCAATGATAGGTTCGTGAAGTGTAGCGTTACTTTTTTTTTATTCATATCGTCTTGTTTTTCTCCACTATAGTCCTTCATTCAAAAGACCTACTCAGTTTTACAAAACAGAGTAGAACAGTAATGTAGACACAGAAGAATCCATAAGTGCTGATGATGTTTAACGATTGCGTCATTATACGTGTGATTGTATCTGTTTTCAGAACATGTTGTGATGATAGAAGACACAAATTCACTTTTGCTTAATAAGAAGCTCGTCCAATTAATTTTCAAATTCCAGCATCATAAATCCTTGGCCTTTGACCCAAACGATTTACGAATGAATAACAACGAGAGGACGCCTCCGTTCCCCTTACCCTCGCGCCATCAGAGGATAGCGTATAGCGTTACTCAAGCATCAGCAGCCCACCGCATCGGACCACTTCTTATGCAACTCTCCTTAACCCCCGTCCCGCGCCTCTTTGAACGAGAAACGAATAAATTTGCGGGACCACCGCGCGTAAACGTCCAACAGTGGTGGGCAAACGAATACCCGCAATCTGTTAGGTGTGAATATTTAAGCACTCCCGGTGAGTACAGTTCATTTGCCCCGGTCGTAGACGAGGGGGGCCCGAGAGAAAAAAAGGAAAACAGAGACCGCGGGGAGAAAGAAGACTCGAGGCGGCTTAAAAGGAAAAAGAAACGAGACACCCCTCCCCCTTCCTTTTTTTTGCCCATTCCTCAGCTGCGCGGGTCTTTTTATTCCTTTTCACGCGACTGGATATGTATAGAGGCCTCCTCCTCCTTCTCGGCAGCAACTCTCCCCTCGCGGCAACATCTTTGTCAATATATAGCAGTAGCAATAGTTGTATGGAGTACTGCATATACGTACATATACATGTATATATACACCGGTATGCCGAGGTTCCCCCGCGAGAAGGAGAGAGGATCTCGACTCCTTTTCACCACCCCCGAGGATATATCCTTACCCCTAACGCGTCTCTTTCTCCTTCTGTGTGTACATGCCGTTGGTGGATTCAGAAGCCCCCTCCTCTTCTTCTTTTACATCCTCTGCTCGGCGTCGTCTACACGCGGTGGGTTAATAGATTTTTGCCTGTGGCTTGAAAGAATCGAAGACTTACGGTATACAGTACAAGGCCGGAGAAGCGCATCGAAGCTTGAGATATGGACTCGAGGATGTGGCCTGATGTTGGCGGCTTCGTAAGTAATGGTATGCCCAAACAAAAAGAGAAGATAGACAGCTGATGGTGTATTATGCATCCCGTACGGGTTTGACAAGCGTTTATAGCTGCAAGTTTTTCTTTTTCAATATTTCAAGTGCTGATAAGTCTATGAAAAATATATATGATCGGTTCGATCTGCTACTGACGAACGGACAATAAGCAATTGCAGCGAGAAATCGAAATATTCTAGAAATATAGTGTATGGACGTGAAAAGGTTCGATAAAAGCCCGATACAAGGTCCGATCGACCCATGCTTTGATCCTTTTATTTTTGCAATGTTCTTTTCTTTGATGTCGGTCCCTGTAATATATAACCAGGTACGCCATTAACGTCTTTTTATCATAATTTTATGAGCTTTTCTTTTACCTTCCTTTCAAGAATTTTTCGCGGTAGTACGGAAATAGCTACGAGGTGGTGAGGACTGGAGCTAAAGTGACTATCCATTTTGCATACCGTTGACGCTGGTGTTTGATTTTTTCGTATTTAGTGACTAATTTATTTTTTGCATTAATTTTGTCCTTACAAGTACACGATTTTTTCTCTTTTAAAAATACATTTGAATTTATGAGCAAAAATATCTATATAATATAATTATAATAATCATAGTTAATACCTCCACCCATACGAACGTAAGTTTATACTCATGTAGAAAACACTAAATCACCCTTTAGTCAAATGAGACGTTCAAATAAACAAAAAATTGATTATGTAGTGCTAAATATCTTACCCGTAATTGAATTACGAGATCTCATAACTCAGTTAAGTAACTTTCCCCACGGTATAGCTCGGCAAACCTCTCCTCTTCACCACGAACAAAAAAAAACAAAAAAAAAAAAAAAAGAGAAAAATGAACAGCTTCGAAAGTTGGTTGTCCGCTCGTTCCAGACGACAACAACGTCAAGCCACACGCCCCAGTAAAAGAGAAAGAAGAGCCTGTCCCGGCGCAAAAAGCCGACTGTTATCCCGAGCAAGCTCATGCGTCGGTCAACTCAACTGCCGGCTATCTCTCGTTATGTTTAAACATCGTTTACGGCGAAACTGCGCTTTTTCACGGCTGCCATGCGGGTGAAATAAAAGGATACGGAGGAAAGAGAGTGTGCGTGTCCCGAACGAGCCCGGGGTCAGGGAAGGAGAACGGGAGCGCAGGTACGGCTAGGGTACGCTAGATCAGCCGAAGAGGTGGCTGCTGTACGGAACCGGTCCCGGGACGCTTCCATGTGTGGCGGATTGCGGAGTTCAAGATAGAGATAGAGACAACTATACGCTCGTGCTCCCCGACATCGAATTGTTTTTTTTTTTTTCTTCTTCCTTCTTTCATTCCTTTACTTTTTTCTTTTCCCTATACTCTTCTGCTATTTTTAATTGGACTTCGTTCTTTATCCACTTAAGTTACTCTGATGGTCTTCGTGCAATCGCCCAAAGTTTGTTGTTACTTTTTACACGATTTATTCTAGGTCGTTTTACAATGGCTTCATAGATTTTGAAATAGTCTTGTTATTTCGAAATGTATAGTTAACTGAAGTACATGTAATAAATTTTTGGAATGCGGAATTTAAGAGAGACGGTTCAAATGTCTTACAAAAATGTTGGTTTTCTCTACAAATAATTTGATTTATAAAATACAAGATAAAAAAAGGTTGTTATGAGTTCAATAATAATGTGTTAGGAAAATATCTTAAGGTACCCTTTGAAAAATGTGATTCTGAAGTCAAATAAATAGATGCAAGCATTTTTTAAATAATATTCTCTTCTTTTCATTTATGTAATATTAAATACTACATTCATGTTTTAAAGTTTATACATATCTGCTGTACAAATTATAATGAAAAATTGTTACTCCAAAATATTCACTATTTGTCAAAACAAAAAAATCTATTATTATTACCGTTTCATTGTAGGTATAAGCTAACGTTTACATATATTTAATGTGAGATAAAACTACAGTAAATTTTAATATTCAGTAGTCTTTCATCTTTTGTATACACTTTGTTGTTTAACATAAGCTGTGGGAGGCTAGGCAGCTGAAAGAGGATTGGAACAATATTTGGATAAAAATTTGAACGTTCGTAGATGCCCTACAATGTGTCAGATATAAGATGATTATTAATTTATCCATAAAAAATACAACAAGTATAACGTACTTTATTGGGAGGACATCTGGCTCTTAGTTTCATTATTTTTGTCACTACTCGATAAACAGTACCTACTACTCACAATATTGTTACAAATAGTTGTATTGTAAGACAAACCCGTTGGTATTTATTGTTATTTTGTTGTAACAGATTGAACATATTGGTATTTTTAGCTTAAAAAATAAAGTCATTATTTATATTTTTGACTTGAATGTCTACAGTTAATATGTAATAAATAGTAACTTACCCATACGTCCCGTGGTATGTTTTCTAGTATTGACACTTTGAGATTAATAATATTTCGATTGTCGGATTTTCTATTTACTGAAACATTTAATAATGCTGCATCAAAATACGTTGAATTCACGTACGTGACTGATATATCTTCAACTCGAATGTACTGTAATTGCATGAATAATTTTAAAATATTGGTTAAAAGTTAAATCATAGTAAATAAAAAATAACTTACACTACAAGAAATAACTTTGACACCACATAAAAATATTATAATTACAATCAGCCAACCACTAACCCTTCCCATTAATAAACTTAATAAAGAAAAATTGATCTAAATGAATTGAAAAATAAATGATTAGATTCTGAACTATAAGCAAATTTAAACAATAGTTTAACTGACCTGAAATTATTTTTAATCAACATTTCTAATAGTTCCATAATTACATTAAAACAAACAAGAATAAATGAGCCTTGTCACAGGCACAGTCAAAATAAAATAATTCTACAATGAGGAAGGTTTCAAGCTTTCATATAATAAGGAATCGGAATAATATAGTAAGCAAATAACATGCTTTGTCATGTTATTGTCATTCAAGTTTCGTAACATCTACAATACAACATGAATACACGACGTATAATGATAACTATCTCAAATATAATTGCAGTAGGAAAAATTTTTTTGAACGTTAAAATATACATTGTATATATTAAAATAAAATAATTTATATTTGAATTCCCGCATATTTGTTATTGCAATAACAAATATAAAAATTCTTTTTGTTTTTATTATCCTTGTTTATAATACTATCCAAAACGTAATTTTCGTACTCATTCGTACATCATATGTCTGGGAATAATTTTTAGTACTGAAATAATTTTTTTCTCTTTTACGTATACCACTTTTTGGTTTTTACACTTGAAGTGTAAAAAATGTATGATAAATAACTTAGAACTTTTGATAACTCACTGTGCTATGCAAGAGTTATGATTTTATGTACTTAAGGACAACTAAATTTAAAAGTAAATTATTTATTAGTTGAATTTAGGTACTTGAAATTGTATTTTATACATTAGGACTAAAAGTATATTTTATATAAAGTTTACATTATTCAGTTGAAATTCCAAGAACGACAACGATTACATTGTGTGCAAGGTCGATTGAATTTTTGATATTGGCGCGAGTATCTCATATTTTCTGGAGGTACAAAATTAACAAAAGTTCTTGTTTTCATTAACGTTCCACTTCTTGAATACAATTCATTGTTGAGCATCATACGAGGGAGATTCGTAGCACAAGGTGGAACCCTGATATTTGGCTCCATTTCCAAACTCTCGTACATACCCTGAAAAAAAATCATTTTCTTCATAGTATTCTGTACACTTACTAACTATAAATAAATAGAACTTAAATTTCACAATTTGATACCAATTAAATTTCAGTTAAAGGCTTATGGTTTAAGTCATTACAATATTATTTGATATCATAATAATTCGTCTTAAACAATATTGTTGTCGCATGGCGTACGAAATTTCTTTCTCAATTGTAATAAAAAAAATTCTTTATGGCTACAATAGAAGTTAGCTCGTTTTAAGTGGTATTTGTTATATCTAGGTAATTGTATTATTGTTATTGGATCTTAGAAAGTATAATATTATTAATTATTCATAATGTAAAGTTTGAGTTGAGAAGAATTAATTAATATTTTGTAAAATAAGAGTACCCTTTTTGGTGGACAACCACAGTTTACTCCCATCCTATTCATTACTTGTTGAAATACACGGTTATTTGAGGCATCCATACACACAGGTGTGTCATACGATACTCCGGTTGGTGCATAAGTATTGCCAAAAACATGAGCATAAACATCTGTTTTTAACTACAAAAAAGATTCATCATAAACATTACATAAAAAATAAAAATTTTAATGACTGTAAACCTACCGACATATCACGTGGTAAATCTTCGATCACCCTAACTCTGCTATTAATAGTATTACGCCCATAAGGTCTGCGATTTACAGAAACATCAAGCGATTCTCTATCAAAATAACGTCCATTTACATGCGTGACATGCACATCTTCTACTTCCATTCGCGCTGTATCTATAGTAATAACTTTATTACTAATTTTATTTTCTAAACAAAACTTATTTTTCTGACATTGTACATAAAAATAGGTAACTTTACCACTTTTTCCAAGATCCGTTGATGCTCCACCAGAACTCATACTGCCATGTCCACCACCTTGGTTAGAAGACCATCTATAAGAATTTCCACTGTGGCCCATAGACATACCAGAAGAACCACCACTAGAGCTCACACCATCTTGAGCTCCTCCTCCAAGACCCATGGATGCTCTACCGGAACTCATCCCACCATGCCCACCACCATGTCCACCGTGTCCCATCGACATACCAGAAGAACCACCACTAGAGCTCACACCACCTCGAGCTCCTCCGCCGAGACCCATCGATGCTCCACCGGAACTCATTCCACCATGCCTACCACTATGCCCACCATGTCCCATCGACATACCAGAAGAACCACCACTAGAGCTCACACCACCTCGAGCTCCTCCTCCGAGACCCATCGATGCTCCACCAGAATTCATGCCACCATGTCCACCACCATGTCCACCATGTCCCATCGACATCCCAGAAGAACCACCACTAGAGCTCATCCCACCTCGAGCTCCTCCTCCGAGACTTGCCGATGCTCCACCAGAACTCATGCCACCATGCCCACCACCATGTCCACCGTGTCCCATCGACATCCCAGAAGAACCACCTCTAGAGCTCATCCCACCTCGAGCTCCTCCTCCGAGACTTGCCGATGCTCCACCAGAACTCATGCCACCATGCCCACCACCATGTCCACCGTGTCCCATCGACATCCCAGAAGAACCACCTCTAGAGCTCATCCCACCTCGAGCTCCTCCTCCGAGACTTGCCGATGTTCCACCAGAATTCATGCCACCATGGCTCATCGTCATACCAGAAGAACCACTACTAGAGCTTATTCCACCTAGACCTCCCGATCCGAGACCCATAGATGCTCCACCAGAACTCAAACCGCTATGACCTCCACCTTGGCTAGAGGACCATCGATAGGAGCCTCCACTAGAACTCAATCCACTTTGACCTCCCGATCCGAGACCCATAGATGCTCCACCAGAACTCAAACCGCTATGACCTCCACCTTGGCTAGAGGACCATCGATAGGAGCCTCCACTAGAACTCAATCCACTTTGACCTCCCGATCCGAGACCCATAGATGCTCCACCAGAACTCAAACCGCTATGACCTCCACCTTGGCTAGAGGACCATCGATAGGAGCCTCCACTAGAACTCAATCCACTTTGACCTCCCGATCCGAGACCCATAGATGCTCCACCAGAACTCAAACCGCTATGACCTCCACCTTGGCTAGAGGACCATCGATAGGAGCCTCCACTAGAACTCAATCCACTTTGACCTCCCGATCCGAGACCCATAGATGCTCCACCAGAACTCAAACCGCTATGACCTCCACCTTGGCTAGAGGACCATCGATAGGAGCCTCCACTAGAACTCAATCCACTTAGACCTCCCGATCCGAGACCCATAGATGCTCCACCAGAACTCAAACCGCTATGACCTCCACCTTGGCTAGAGGACCATCGATAGGAGCCTCCACTAGAACTCAATCCACCTTGACCTCCCGATCCGAAACCCATGGATGATCCACCAGAACTCGAACCGCTATGACCTCCACCTTGGCTAGAGGACCATCGATAGGAGCCCCCATTAGAAGTCATCCCACCTTGACCTCCCGATCCGAAACCCATCGATGATCCACCAGAACTCGAACCGCTATGACCTCCACCTTGGCTAGAGGACCATCGATACGATCTACCGTTAGAACTGTGCCCACCATAACTTAGACCCCCATGGGTACTGCCTCCGCCTATGGACGATAAGTCAGGTATTCCAGTAACTGTCGATCTAGGAGCAATCTAAAATGATTTATTTGCTAATTATTTGGTTGTATAAGTCGAGGTATACGTAATCTATCGTATTTTTTTTTTCTTTTTTTTTTTTAGTTATTCAGTAAATACTCACCTCACATTTAAAAACAGCAATTGTGCGTAGTAGTAAAATAATTAAAATTAAATCTAAACGAAAACTCATATTTAACGTAACGGATGCAATAATCTGCATTTATATGAGCCTTCGTGTGAAGAGCAAAGATATGATTTAGTAAAGTGTAAAAACGTCACTTTAGTATCGGCAAAGTGTGGATACGTAGTCTGTGATCCAACTAAAGTTACGTAAAGTATTTTCCTCTGGTGCAAGCATAATTTGCAGTCGTTACATTCTTTAGCGTGTATGAGTTGACAAAACATATGTAATAATAAAACATTTTTTCTTAATTCTATAATGAAAACCTTGTTAGTTTTCAACAAAAGTATGAAAGGCTAAGGCTTGAAAGCTTGTGGTATGAATATTTTTTAAAAATTAGAAATAACTTATGGTTGTGTCAAATTTAGCAAAAAACGTATTATAATTATATAAACTAGCAAATTTTATTGTATTATTAGAAATCCTTTTCCAGTACTTGAAATATAATAATTACTGTAAAAAAATGGCATGGATGAATATTTTTCATGGCTTTGTTTTATGCTGATGAAGTTAAAACATTCTAGATGTTAATCATTGACAAATTTTACTCAATTCCAGCAGTTTTTATTTAAATTATTACTAGATATTGATTCGAAAATATTAAATACAGCGTAACATAACCAATGAGTTTGCATTCAAAGTACTGAAAATATCAAAATCAATAGTACATATACAGTATCAAGTAATTAAAAACGTAAAAACGTAAAAGACAAAAGCAAACACGTAGTTGGTACAAAACACAGTTCAAGAAGTCTTTAAAATAATTAATTCTAAAAAAATACACCATTTATGTTTGTGGGATGAAAATGTATAAGGCAGCTTGAACAATTTTTTTTTTTTTTTTTTCAAGTAATTGATTATATTTTAACTTGAAAACATGTTACACATGTTAAAAAAGTAGATTGCAAACTATATCTTTATTTTAAGAGCAGCATAACTCATGCTCATTTTTCATCTTGTTATGATTTTTTTCTACCCAGTTGTGCTCTTTTTGCCTTTAAATCCAATTTTTATTTTTTCATACATAAGCACATTTGGGCTTTGCCATTCGCGAGCATAGAAACCGGAGTAGAAACGACGACAACGACTATGACGACGACGACGACGACGACGACGAAAAACGAAATTGGCGATAAGACGTGCGCAGACTACACACATACATTTTGTCCCAGAACGATATTCACTCCATCTCTTTTTCCCTCCCTCTTTTTATCTTCTCTAACACAGCTAGCTTCTGTCTTTCCTTTCATGGGAGGAAAACAAGAAAGCGTATTTGGACGATCGGCTGCCGCTGCTTGCTCCAAAAGTCTTGGCGGCTCGATAAAACGTGTTCGTCGCCCATGAAGGAACGAGATAGAGAGAGAGAGAGAGAGAGAGAGAGAGAGAGAGAGTCAAGGGTGGCTGATTTCCTCTTGCTTTCCCTTCCCTCTACCCGATTTTTCTCTTTTTCTTCGTCTCGATCTTTTCTTTTTACTCGTCCTCTCTTACTGCTTCTTCCGTCGACCTGATCCTTTAAAGGGATTAGGTGCGGACGCACGCTGGAATCCTAATGCTCGATTTTAACCTTCTTTTGCGTTAAAAACGCGCCGAGCTTTACTTCCTTGCTCTCGTCCTTTGACTGTATATTTTTACCTTTGCTTTCTTTGCCATTTTTTGGGTCTTCTTCTGCTGCGTTGAATCACAGCGAAATCGAAGACCATTTTGCAGTCGAGACTTTTATCTATACTCTAAGGATATTCCTTTTATTCCGCTTCTGAAGCCTCGTTTGCTGCATTAATGTTTCAAAAATTTCGTTTTATACATTTTATACACATCATTTATAAGCATGAGATCGATTATACGATGTTTGAGGCAAAATGGCATAATACTTAATTATATTTTCGAAAAACTCTTTAGATGCTGCACTTTTTGATGCAGCTGTAAATTTGTGTAAAATAAAATGTATTGAAATATAAATTGATATGTGAAACGTATCTTTCTGAACACATACTCTTTTTTTAATAATTTAATAACTCGCATGAATAGGAATTTAACTTGTATTATTAAGCTCAATGATTTAATATTTTTTACAATGAAATTACAGAAACAGTTGTACGACTGCTATGCATTTAACTTTTTACGCGGAGCTTTTCAACTCTGGGGCTTTTTATACTGCCATGTATAATAATAGTTGGTAAAGCTTTTTTTATTTATTAAATTTTTTTTTTACTTTGTAGCAAATAAAAAAAATATTATGCCCTTATCACCCAAGAGAATAACATAGGTAAAAAAGCGTAATAAGAACCACCATAATTTTGAACAAGAAATACATAAACTTGGCTCCGATCGCACACGTAAGATATTAAATATCCTTTTTCCCCTATCTTGCACTTTGTCATACTTAAGCACATACGAATACTTGCGCTGTTACCCCACATAAACCGTCTTACATTTGCGAGTGCGATTTCACGTCCGATGACTACGAGGGCTGCGAAATAAAATAAGGATAGCTCTCGGAGAGTCGCTTGAAATATATACCCTTTTTCCCCAAACCCAAAAGAAAGACACACTATACGTCGTAGGTATTAACTTACCCCTCCTGGGGAGTGTGTAGGTATTTTTTGTCTCTCCGTGGCGTTGGTGATATTATCGCCCGCCGCTTGGGGTATTCTCGTGACGCAAGATTTCACGCCATGAAGAGACTTTGCGAATGAGGCTCTGGAATAAATGGAATGGCAAGGAAAAAAAAATATGCGATGGTGATGGTAGTAGTGGAGGAAGAAATATATACAGTGTTAAAAATAAGGGAATGGTCGGGTTATTTAGAAAATTGAGGGAACACTTTGCCCAGCAAAATGCAGAAGTGATTAGGAGAAGGTTTACGGAACAACAAGAATATGTATGAAGTGATAATGACAAAGATAACATTGTCAGGATCCACTACTGTAGGGGTGAATATTATAAAATGTAAAAAAGATTTTTGAGATAAATTTCTCTTAAATGAAATATTCTGCGATTTTAAATAAAAACCCGTTGAAGTAAATTAATTGAAAATCCAACTATCAAAATTGAAAAAGCGTTCATTTGAATAGCCAAATTTATTCCATAGTGTAAACAAATTAATTTGATAATTATAAAACTGTTAAATTCATTCAAACCAGTGGAACTATTTTTTTTTTCTTAAACTCTCTTAAAAAGGGCGAGCTCGCCATCGTCTTTGTTCTTCTATGTATAAATTTCCTTTGAATACAAGGGCAACATAAAAAGTGCATCTCGACTTGAGATTTTTGAAAAAAAAAAATTGTGCAAGTAAAAGTCGTCTTATATTAATTTGAGTTCGTGCTGTTACCTTTTTCTTATCTAGAAAATCCACCTTTCCTTTTCAACAGTGATGTTCTGGTGGTGTAGAATAGGGATGGGGGGGGGGGGGGGGAGGTAAGTACTTTGAGACAAGAGAAATTTATGAGAACCGTCTCACTAGATTCAATTTCCGCGCTTTCTTTCTCTTTTGCGCGATGTCACGTATACCCTCCCTTCCATCCTTTCCGGGGAAGAGGAGCTCCCTTGCATTGCAACCTTGCCTGCCTTGCGGCCAAGAGCGCAGTATCTCAATTTTACGGAGGGAAAACTTCGTTTAGTCGGAGAAGATAGAAGTGGAGATGGTACGTGCAGTATCTATGCGCCTGCCTGCACTTTTTTGTGCTTGTTTTGCGCTCGCTAAAATAGCAATAAGTCTTTTCAAACTTAAATAGCCATGTTGTTGCTGTTGCCCTTTACGAGGCTTGTTTTTTCATTCCTCGATTTTTTTCAGTAAAAGAAGTGTGAACGCTTCTCCTGTACTTATTTGTTTTTACGTGAAACATAACAAAACATTTTTTTAAGTCCAGCCATGAATCTAGATATTTTTTAGCAAATCGTTCATTACGTTTGTAGTAGAATTTAATCATTGTTTTAAAAAAACATTGGTTATTTGACTCATCTGGTGGTGTAATAAAAAAAAAATCCTAATATGATATTTATTTCACTTCATAAGTGAAAAAAATAAAAAACGTCGACCCTAGTGTGGGTCTCGGTGGGTCTTACACAATGACGTATTTTTTTTTTACTCTTGCAGGTTAAGTGGCCATGAGCCAGAAAATTTTTTGTTAAGTCAGAGTCATGACTATAAAATGACGCTTAAGTTAATCATAAATGTGACTGGCTAAGGCTTTACACATTTTTTCTATTTTAGTTACCAATTCTTCTCAACAAGTTGTTCAATATAACGTTTAACATTATACATACATGCAACAGGTTTTACAATTTTTTACCAAATCCTTTTTTACAAAAAAAAAAAAAAAAGTAGTATTTTCACTATTTTTCACTATACTGTGAACTTACCTCATTTCTCATTTGATTACATATCAGTATCTTCATTACCACTACCGAGACACTAACACAAACAAGCGACACTTATCCATCTTCCCACTCCCCTTGCGAAAGAATGCAGTACTGGTCTTCTTTTTTTAGTCACAACGCAACTCGACAACTGGGAAGTGTACTGTTGCAAAGCATTACATCAGTTTTTTTTTTCTTTGTATTTGATTTTAACTTTTTTCGCTCAAATAAATATCCAGTTAGGAACAAAGATTGTTCAATAATGTCAAAACAGGAAGCAAGATATTTCTTCAGTTTATATGCTCATGACATAAAATCTCTTCCAATCAATGATGAAGGCAAGGACAAGTTTGCTTTACCTGGAAAATCTGAGCCCCTGGCAAAGAGGACTAAGAAAGAGGACGAAAACGGGTGCTGTGCGTCCAAAAGTACATCGGTTAACACATCAACTAAATCCAAAGAGGATCAGTTGAGCAGACAATCGACAAGTGATAACTTGTATTTTGGAAAACAACACTAAGGAAAAATGTTAGTGAGGAAAATCAAATTTATTTGCATTAGATAATGTACTTCATCCCATTAAGTAATTGTTATTAGAGAGACAAATAAAATCTAAAAAAAATCTTCCGTAGCTCAATTTTACTTTGTATGGTTGGGCACATAATTTTACATAATACATGTATCTATTTATTTTTAGAATATTTGTGGGGTCCAAGCCTGTACCAACGAGGTCAACAAATTGATACCTTGTACCTTTGGATTTAAAACCAGAGCCTCCACCATCCAACATGTACGGACGATTTCACTGATTCTTTTGTTTGTTGTGTAACCATTTTTCAAATAAATTTCATTGCTATATGTATTTGTTTTTTCGTATTTTGTTGATAACAAAATGATATTTTGGTAACCCTTAGGAACTAAGTTACAAATTAAAAATGCATGGCTCTCAAAGTAGGTAAAAATCAATCTGTATCATATCGATCACTTGAGTGAATATTTAGAAAATAATTGTTGGAAGTATTGTATTGGTCGTAAATGAAGAATAATAAAATCATACCTGTTTCATGTTTGTGTGAGTAGAAAAAAAATATAAAAATATAGAGTGGTGCAGGTGCAGCTCTAAAACAAGACAATAAGAAGTAAAAAAAATAAGAAGAGCAGAGTTCAATATCACCTATAGGCCGAATTCATTTTCGTGCCTCGTTAAACAGCTAACAGCCACGCACACCACCATGTAGCGTTTACCCACATACCTCTTATTCCCGGCCAGGGTATATAATATATTGATTCAGCACACCTTGGGGATCCAAATTCCGGAGGACGACGGTTTTACACACCTCGTAAAGACCTTCCCATGAATATATTTCAAAGGACGACGAGTCCTTCGTTGTTTGGTCGGGAAAACTTGTTCGCAGTGTCGCATAAAACAGAGTCAGGCAATAAAAGTACCGACGACACGCTAGAATTGTGTAAGAGCTTACACAAACCGTACAGGATTCGTCAATTATTTTTATCCAGGTGTGCCCATAAAGAGCTCCTGGACAGTGTTACTATCACTTGTGTACTAGGTTAGAAACGTTCTAGAACAATGAACAATCATGCATGAATGTCATTGAGGATCTAATTGAAAATTTATATCTTACATGATGAAATTTTGGTAGTGGGTAGATATCATTACTTGGATTTATCTACCATTTTCAGAGTATTCATATGATGAGGAAAAGCAAGCTTCAGGCCGTTATATATAAGAAGGTGCATTCCCACAAATTTATCTTCCAGTCATCCACCTATGGACTTTTCAACGATAAAAAATACTGTATCACGAGGACAATGCGATTATATTGACTGTGAAGTTATTGGATCCGCTCGTTTTCAAGTGCTCAGTGGAATCCAATCCATCAAAATCATCTGATCCATTGATGAAAGCGAGACGTAAACCTCAATGACGAATTTCACTTTGTTCGATTGGAAAACAAAAAAATTTGATCATTTCGCTCTTCTATTTACCCAGTGGATTGAGAAGCCTTGCACAAAAGCGCCAAAAGAGCGAAAATACATACCAAAGTGGAAATGCAAGGGGAAATTGGATTTGGCTCTTCAAGTTCGATGAAAAAATAACAAATGTTGGCTGGAAAATTGGGAACCGCTCCACCATATGCACCAACCATAAAACGTTCGGGTATATTATCATGGTATCGCGAATGTAATCAAATATTTGCTCGCACCCTGTTGTACTGCCGCTTCCATCAAATCAACGTATCAATCGCACGTGTTCATGTATACACGCACGCCCATAGTTAAGGCTTGAAATATGACCACTCGAGTCATTTCAGTCGACGGTTCAGGTAACTCGTAAATAACATTCACCCGAAATTCATGGGAACCAATGAATATACATATACTTCCTCGATTTCCTCTTGCTTTTTGTTGTTCATGACGCGTAAACAGTATTTCATTTGATAAAAATATTCACTCGTGCATTATTTCTTCGTAAAAGTTCATGTACTGCAAAAACGTAAAAATCCACCAATACCTCGCCTTCCACAACCCGTCAGCAATGATCACAATAGCTCCCGATGTTAATTAGAGAATTGCTGAATTGATTACCATTAATCCGTACAAATTCCGTAAACGCAGACGTACCTTGGCAATTATCAGTCCGAGATGAAGCAAACTCCCACGCAACGCGACAATGAGTTGGGCCCATGAAACCGAACTGTGCCTATCTCGTGGAAGCTCCGAAATAATGCCACTGCACAATGATCGGTTTAAAAACAAGGATTTGCTGGATATAGCCTCTCTTCTGTGCTCATTATACACACACACACGTAGAGAAATATACCAACACGCTGGCTGCACGGTCCATTGAGGGTGTAGTGCTGGATTTGAAACGGTATTTTCGCGGCTTTCTCTCGATCGCTCCCTATTTCGCATAGAAATGGATACACGCGTGCACTCACGTGGCGTGACAATTTAACGAGTTGCTGTTGCTCCATGTATTTCGACGCATTTGATACCGCGTTATTTACCAGTGGCGCTTTGTTGTATCAATTGAGGTGATTGTTTGGTAGTATGAGCAGTAGACTCGAATAGCTTTTTTTACCCAAAAATACTATTTCGAGCTTGGTATCTTGATTGAAAAAAACTTTCTCTCCGCCACGACTTTCAGTTTGACGCTTCCAACTATTCAGACCCTCACGCTGTTTCGTTTCGACGTTTTACAGTAGTAACGATGACTTATCTTTTAATAATCCACGTCCAAAGACTTCAACGTCATAAAAGACCAATAAACAGCTTCTCAAATCTTTACAAGTGTTTTTCGTACTTTTTTGAAGTTTCTTCTTTATATTTTTCGTTGGCTGCTATTCAAAGTATTTCATTCACGGCTATTATTATCATTTTCGCACTTTACGAAAGCCCAACGCGACATCGGGGGGGGGGGGGGAGAAACCCTCCAGCATCAGCCAATCAATTATCCCTTGATAAACAGTTTCCCGGTTTCCCCTCGTTCTGCGATTAGATCCTAATCCAGCCAACCTTTTCACCTTCTCAGTTCGAGTTTCAAGCTCATCAATCATCAACATCCTCTATCTTCTACCTCTTTTTTTGCCATTATTTCCCCACGTATTTTGACTCCCCCCCTGGAATGTTGACTTCGTTCAGCTTGTTGCACGAACGTCTTGGTCATGGAAAAGTTTCTATAAGTATTTTTAAAAAGTACAACAGTATTTTAAACAGCTTTTTAAATGTTTCCCCTTAAAGCTCTATTGCCACTGCCTTGTAAGCGATAAATTATATTTTATGCGAGTATATGTTTCTACACAGCTAATTACATGATTGACACGTCATTGCAAAATCACTAGAAGTATCGGTATCAAAGTATATTGCTGCGACAGCTGATAGATGAGATTTTTTTTCAGAGGCCTTCGTGCGTCAAACAGGTATTTACAATGCGTAGAACAGATCAATTTTCTATAATAAATTATTACTACGGATTTTAAATAAGTTATTTAAAGTCATTGAAAACGGTGTATGACTTTTGTAAAGTTAGCGTTGGGAAAAGACATCGTTTTAATTGTTTGACTAACAGTAAAATTAAATACCTATCAACGCATCGTTAGTGATAATAGCGATATCTTTTTTCCATCGCTAAGAATGTACGACACTTTTGAAAAACAAGATTCCATGCCTATGCTAGAATTCATTCGCTCTTTGTGACTTGTACAACTATTTGACAGCACAGATTTTATTTTGAGTTAATCTGTAAAACGAAAGAGACGTAATAACTTTGTACAAACAATATTTGACGAAAAGTACATACTTGTATTACGTGTACATACGTTTATTGCAGTTTTGTTAACATGTAAGAAAACGCCTCAAAGTCATAGATGTGCTTGGATAACCCAACAACCATTGTACCTCTCGATTAGAAATTGGGAAATCGAAAGTAAGTTTTTATTGCAATCATAAAAATAAATCGTTTTTCTAACCAAAAAATTCAGTAATGTTTAAAACATTGACACCTGAGCCAAAGTGAGGGCTGTTTTAAATTTATTTAGAAAAAAGTGCTGTAGTTTGTATAAACTTGTGTGATCGTCCTGGAATAGATGCATACCAGTAACGAAAACTGCTATCCTGTTGAAAATCAGAGTACAGTACTCTAGTAAAAGTCTGTCTATGTGTATGTAATTAGTCACATTCTCTTAAAAAAAATTTCGATTCGACGTGGTTTTTTCCGATACTCATTATCGCTGAAAATGAAAATTATAGCTTCGCTCGATTCAATCAAATTCATGTCAATTAATTTTTATCAAATCAAAAGCTATGCATGTACCAAAAAAAAAAAAAAAAAAAATAACAGCTGCGTGACGTTTAACAGAGACAAAAGATGGCTGCCAATTTAATACTTATCTTTTTTTTTGGAATTCAATCTGTTTTGTGTAACTTACACTACTTACACCCAAGCACATCGACATAATTTTTCTGAAATACATACATCACCTAGTAACGTTCTGGTACTTTCGTAATAGAATAAGTGAAATATTTCTGATTTCCCAAGTTTAACTTTATTTTTAGAACAATAATACGAGTACATTAATAATAATATTTTTGTATCACTAGGCAATGAAATCGAGAATATAATTATAAAAGTTGCTTAATATTTGTGTTGAACAGAAAAATCATTCATCCACCGATTCGCCATCGAGCCGAAGCAACAATGTTACGGGATGAAAAAATTTGAGAAAAATAACGACAGCAGAGAGCTGCCACTTACACATTTGCAGCACAGCTGACGTGAATCTCAGTGGTCCATCGTTTATACATCAACATGGCTGAAGGTGGCAGTTCTTGTTTTTGTGATGTATGCGGCAAAACTTGCAAAACAAGTGACGCTCTCAAAAAACATGAACGTTTACACATGGATTGTAAGACCCACTGTTGCAAAGTGTGTTACAAAACGTTCATCAAGAGGAGTTACCTGATACAACACGAGTCGACTCATACGAATGATAAGCCCCACGTCTGCAAATTATGTTCCAAACGTTTTACTCAGAAATCGAATCTTAAGCTACACGAATGGACCCACACGGGTCACAAGCCCTACAGCTGCAAGCAATGTCCAAAAAGTTTTTCTCGTAAATTCTGTCTCGAAGTGCACGAGCGGACACATACGAGCATCAAACCTTTCCAATGCAAATTTTGCTTAAAAAGTTTTGCTCAGAAATCGAATCTTACAGTACACGAACGGAGTCACACGAATGATAAGACCTACAGCTGCAAGGAATGTCCAAAAAATTTTACTTATAAATCTAGTCTCGAAGCACACAAGAGGATTCACACGGTAATCAATCCGTACAGCTGCAAAACGTGTTCACAAAATTTTACCAGTAAAAGATGTCTTACGATTCATGAGCAGACTCACACAGGTGGCAAGACCTTCAGGTGTGAATCGTGTTCCAAAGTTTTCACTTATAAACAGAGTCTTAAGGTTCATGAATGGACCCACACGGGTCACAAGCCCTACAGCTGCAAGCAATGTCCAAAAAGTTTTTCTCGTAAATTCTGTCTCGAAGTGCACGAGCGGACACATACGAGCATCAAACCTTTCCAATGCAAATTTTGCTTAAAAAGTTTTGCTCAGAAATCGAATCTTACAGTACACGAACGGAGTCACACGAATGATGAGACCTACAGCTGCAAGGAATGTCCAAAAAATTTTACCTGTAAACGTAATCTCGAAGCACACAAGTGGATTATTCACATGGAAATCAAGCCTTACAGATGCAGCACGTGTTCAAGCAGTTTTGCTTATAAATTGAACCTTACGAAGCATGAAAAAAGTCACGTGGGTCTCAAGCTCTTTGGCTGCAAAATATGTTTGCAAAGTTTCATGCGAAAAGGGCAACTATTGGCTCATGAGCGGACTCACACAGGTGACAAGCCCTTCGAGTGCAAATTTTGTTCCAATCGTTTCACTCAGAAATCAAATCTTACAGTGCACGAGCGGAATCACGTGGGTGATAAGCCCTACAGTTGTGAGCGGTGCTCAAAAAGTTTCGTCCAGAGATATCTTCTTAAGAGGCACCAGTTGACCAAAGGGTGCAATTCGCTTGACACAAAGTTGCTGCTACCCTCATTTTCCAGTACTTTCACACAAGGATCTCAGTTATAATTATGTAAATAAAGTTAGTGTCATTATTAAGCGTCTATTTCGAGATAAATCAGGTTATTGGATACTTTAATCAGTAAAAAATAAAAATTTACTCATGAAATAACCGGAATTTTTACCGTGAAAGCAACTGTAAAAGTGTGACACTGCGACAGTCACTATACTTTTTACCGTAGTTTGGGGGTAATTTTTATCCCTGCAGTAAAATTTGTCTTGAAAAGACTATAATTTTTACCGTGAAGCAACTGTAATTTTTACTCAGCTGTTAAGGTAAAGCTAGGGTCACGTGGTACAGAGAAAAAGCTACAGGACAGAGCAGACGTCTGCTGCACCTGCTTAACCTGCAAATTGACACGTCTTATGTTGGTATTTATCAGCAGTGTTGATAATTAAAAATTTGTAAGAAAATGCACTTTATTATATAATTATTTAATGATCATTGGGCCATCTGCACCTAGTATAATGTTTTGTGCAAGCATATTATGTAGTATGATGGAGAGAAATACAAAAATTGGCGTAGTGTCAACAAATTTGATAATTAACGAATTCAAGAAAAAAATGTAGTACGGTAGAGCAAGTATATGCAAGTTTATGTTAATTTTTTTTTTTTTTTTTTAATGAAGCATTTTATAAAAAACATGTGCATACGTGATTTCACAAGCCTCATTTGCTAATACTCTTTCTTCCTGAATGTTTCATAAAAATTTTACCTGTCATTAACAGTTTTTGAAATTTGAATCATTTGGATGACATTGCCGAGACAAGTAAAATAAACGCAAAGTTAAAACTTTACATGTACCCACTACAATTTTTTCGAATTAATATTAAGTACTTTATTTCTATTAAGTATTTTTTGTTTTCCTGTTCACTGTAGATACACCTCTAATACCTGTTATTTATGCTAATGCAGGACAATCTGTTTTATTAGTAATTTTCATTGTCCCAACCACACAGGCGAAAAATATAAGCTGCCATGGATGTAATAATAAAATTGAGATTTTGAAATACATTTGAGTTTTTTCTTGAATTATTTAAGTAAGAACATGGTTTTCCCTCACACTTCTCATCGCAACTAAACAAGTAAAAAAAAAAAAAAATCCAAAAGGTTGCCCGTGTGCACCAAACACTTCCACTCACGCCCACAGGTATTAATGCTCAGACGGCCAAACTTTGCATCGTAGCTTCTCTAAAGGTAGCTATAAAATATTTTGACAGCTCGAGCAAGCGTTGCTGAGAAAAAAAGGCGCATACATCGCGCACCGCGGGAGAGGGTGTCCGTAACGTACAATCTATACCATATACTTTTGCATAGGAGCGGCTAAGGTTGCCGTGTATATACGTTTGGAGGATGGCAGCCAAGGCAGACAACAAGATGTGCTTTATGGGCTTTTTGTGATGGTGTCAGTTACTTATACACGCATTCGAGCTTCTTAGCATTCGTTTTATCCGGATCGTCATTTTTTTTTTTTTTCCTTTAAGAGAACTCTCCTTCAATTTTTATCTTGGCAAGGGTTTGAGATTTTTTTATGATGTATGGCCGTTGGGTCTAATATTAAATTTTAATATCTAAGTAGCTTCTACTTGAGATAACAGTTTTGTGGTTTCATGGTTGGGCACAACTACGGCTTATCACATATATGGAGTGTCCGGGTGATATTATCCATTGACAACACTTTTAACCAAACGTTTTTTCCTGCGCGTTTAAGTTACTACTCAATTTGTAAATAAAACGAAATATCTTTGATTCTAGCATCTCATCTGAATGGTACACATAAAAATGTTTAATTTTTGGTTAAAATTCTACCTTGGAGTCCCTGCGTGTCAGCAACACGCTCCTTTCCCTTTCCTCTCTTTGAGGAGAACAGAATTCTTCATTCCGTCATGCAAAACAAAACGCCACCCAGCTAGGCTGTGTTGGCTCCTCTCTGGTTCTTAACAGAAAAAAAAAAGAAAAAAAAAATATGTGAGCGTTCTACAAAACGAAGACGATCGAGAAAGCAATAAACTGTCTTTTGTGAGACGCGAAAGGTAACACCGCTGGGAGGTATATGGAGTTCGGGAATAAAAAAAGGGGTTGCGTGCGAGGACGAATATGGGCAGCAACTCCCGAAAGTTCTCTTCAGCTACTGCCGAGCAAACAAGAAAATATATAAGTTCTAGTCTTTGGTCCTTCTGGTCGCTCGACTTGATATGCTGTACCGTTTTCGTCACCCTCGGTGGCGTTTGGTATCTCTCCCAGTCGCGTAAGAGGCTCTCCTGTAAAAGTTCTTTTTTTCTTGCACAGGTGTAGGTACGCTTTTATACTATTTCTCGGGTTATACGCATACAAGGCGCTTCTCACTCGTACGTGGACTTTTTTTTTCTTCGGGATGTATGAATCCCCATTTCTGACTATACAATAGGTAGTATCTGCAGGTAAAAATCGATTTAATATTCACTAAGCTAGTTTCTCCCACCTTCGATCGATATGAATCCCTTTTCTATCTTTCTCTCTTAACACTTTTTTTCAAGAGAAGGTTTTTTTTTTTTTTTTGGAATGGCTGAGACTGCTGTTGCTGCTGGCGCGACGGGAGTCTTGAGGTACATATATTACGGGTTGTTTGTGCCTCTCGACCATGTGTTCCTTTTTTCTTCCTCTTCATTGGTAAGATAATATTCAGCAAAGAAGCGAGAGGGATACTGTGGAATCTTGGCAAAGCTTACGCGGCGTAAATAAAGGTCTAGTTTATCTCACCAGTTGATCGTTTCTTTAAAAATTTACACCTGTTGGTACATCGTTTCTTTGGTTAAGACTTTTCACCTAAATATAATTTGTAGGTGGATGGGAAATGTACCAGTTCTATTTGGCGTCAATATAATGCCGTTGAAGTAATTTGTTGTAAAGTAGACTTATATTTTTATGTAAATGTCTCAATGAAAATAAACCTTTATTTGAGTGTGAAGTGATTTCACCATAAGTGTGTATAAGCGTGTAGTAAGTACAAACACCATAATCATTTTGTGCCATTTATTTTTGTCAAATTTTTATTTCAGTTGTTCCATTAATAATCTAACAAAATTATTTTGATATTCATAATTTGTAACTCATTTAGAAAAAAAAGGAACAGTCGCATTTAATTGATAAATATTTTTAACAGTTAAGACAATTCATAAAATTTAACATGAAGTCTGTCAATGAAAATGTATACATGTTTAATATACCATACGTTGCAAATACAGGAAAGTTTCCAGAAAGGAGAAGAAAAGCAGTCGGCCCTGCACGTGGTTTCATCACCGTAATAACCGGCTAAAATTATATTTTAGTTCCACGCTGGTGTCCCCTCTTCCCGCACAACAGGACCTCATTACAATGTCCTTTTTCCACAGTACGAACCTATATATATATACACCCAAGAGCTATACCGTCGTCGAGGGTATAGGGTTTTGAACGTGTAAAAATGTCATTTCTTGCCACCGCCAAGGTGCTTTTAAGCCACGCTATAGGAAAATTACCGAGTAATTGGATTTGCATCTTTCGGGGCGGAAAATTTCTATCTTAGCTTTTATCGCTGCGAGCACGCCCTTGGATTGCACACACCGGGAATGAAGTGCGACGGGTAAAGAGAAAAACACCGACAGCTGCTTTTGGCGTCGGGTGGCCTCTTTTTACGATGGTTTTTACAAAAAAGTTAGAACTCGAGCCGGTCGCTCAGTCTGCCGTTACCCATCATGTATACACAAGCGTGGGCGTGCTCCGTACCTTTACGGTCACTAGTGGATACTGCACAACAAAAAGTCTTGCTCGTTTTTGTCGCGTATATACGGCATCAGGGCTTCCGGCGACGGTAAATATAGAGCGGCTGTACGTGCGGGTGTGGCTGTATCGTTACAGATAAATCACGGGAAAACCAGCAGTTATCGGTTTTAATTGGAGACGCGCTGCTGATGTTTTGCTGTAAAGTTTTAGTTTGTGATGATGTATACCGTATTGGGCTGGCATTGCTTTTCGAGCGTTGCAAAAGGTAATCATTGAGAAAAAATTTTGAGAGAAGTACAATAATTGGTTGGAAACGATACGAGATGGCAAAATTCAACCAAGATATTGATATTAAAGGCCTTTTCCGTGTGGCTCGGAGAATCCGATAATTATTCCGCTTCGAAGCGCCGTTGACTAATTAAATCAACGTACAGGCGGCCGAACTTGGTTCACAAGGTAGCCAATCATGCGAGAGAGGGGAGCTGGTCAGGCGAGCAAAGTCTACCCAGTGATTCTCAGTAATTGCTCACGAGTGAAGGACATTAATTACCATCGAATGAAAAAAATGAGAAAAAATCTGCTCGGCCCATGCGGGCGCGGAAGAAGGATGGAGACGAAGTAAAGCCTTTTTCGTGACTGGAAAAAAAATGGTTTCACATTATTTAGGGTGTAACGACGAGCTGTGACGGTGAAAAAAATGAGCTTTTCAAAGGCGCTGCTTCCAGGCGTTAAGTCGGACCAAGGCATGCGACAAGCGAGTATTGTACACTTGCAAGTTTGTTAGGAAGAAAAATGGGCGTAGTTGGAGAGTACAAATTTGATTCTTGATATAGAATTGTTTAACACTTGGGTTATAAAAGTAATTCACGGGTCGAAATCTTAATTCTCGCTCTTATTTGATAAACTTTGTCGCTCGTTACTTCTGGTATTGTAGTATTTTGTCATACGCAATTACCTAATCATTTGAAAATAAATGAATCAACGGGTAACGCAGTTTGGAACATCAATGCTCATTAGCTTATTTATTATTATTATTTGTTATCCCCCAGTTGCTCTTAGCATCACATTATTACTCAATTATTTATTTACGACACTTCAAAGTCTGAAACGCTATTCGAAAAATGTATGGTTCAATTTTTATATTTTTACAAGAAAGCACCCTATTATTAAGATATTTTGCAGCGTACAAAATCATGATATATTTTTATAATAAACTGTAATAATTATTATATTTTCACGCAACGTAAATTTGATGAATCATCAAGTC